TGAAGATAAATAAAGAAAAAAACTTTTTTAATTATAAATAAATTGTCCTATTGATAATCCAAACTTTCCTTCAAGGCACTCACTAAAGTTTTTTTTTTTTGAAAAGTAAAACAATAAAGATTTATATTGAGAAAATAGAAAAACTGATTACAACCAAGCAAGGGTGCTAAGATAACACCCAATCCAACTACATGAGGACAACAAAGACACAAACAAAACAAACTGAAAACAAAGACCCCCCTGCGGCACTGCAAAAACAGCTAGTATTCAACTTCAAACGTCTCCTCATACACGTTATCGTCCTCGTTCCAAACCTTTACTCCTTCCCCTAACAAATTCTTCTTCATTCTTTCTTCTCTTTTGCTCTTTTCAAATACTTCAAAAGCTCTTCTAGTGAACTCCTCTCCTCCCCCAAAAAATCATAAACTCGTTCCAATTCTAACTTGTTGAGACAAAGCAAAACAACTTTCACCAACTCGACCTCTGTCCTTATTCCTTGACTCTAGCCTAACTTCCAAACCTCCCTTTGTCAAAGTCTCCCTTGACTGCAAGGTGTAGTGTTGCACTCTTTACTCAGATGATCTCAGGAATTAAAAATCTTTTTGCAAACATTTTTCTTGAAACATAATATATATATATATATATATATATATATATATATATTTTGCAAAACAAATCTCAAACACGGTTGAAATCGACTGTCAACAATTTTGGTTTTCATTAGAGAGAGTGTAGTCCCGATCATTCACTTTGTCCGACAAAGGGGCTGATCCTATCACTATGATCACCCACTCGAGTGAATTCTTAGACTGCCCCAACATACCCAGGTTTTGACCCCCAAAGGATCTCAGTGATTGGCATATCAAAGACAGCCCAATCCGACACCCAGTACAGTACCATAATCAAGTTTAGGGGTTAGGTGTAACCTTCAGCTTTGCCCATCAGTCTCCAGGGTCCAAGGCATAATTGGAAATTGGTTCGGGTTCAGTGCTTCAAACAAACACACACTACATGTGCTTTGGGTCTCACCTTGGCAGTTGAGACAAGTTGCTCCAACTTCTTTGGTAGCACATTAGTGTCAGCCTTGGTAGGATAAACTCCCCAAGTTTATACAACGATTGAGAATATTCTAAACTAACAGGAGTCTCTTAAGTGTCCAGTTTAAAAGGTAATTACACAGAAACACGCCAATGATAACATGAAACAATTATGTACTTTTATTCATTTATAATAAATGTACCAGTACATCAATCTGATTGGAGCTAAGGGCATACACTGTCTAACAGATAGAAGATCTACATCTGGTTATTGTGCCCCAGTTGGAGGCAATGTGGTTTCTTGGAAAAGTAAGAAACAATCTGTGGTTGCTCGTTCTAGTGTTGAGGCAAAGTACAGGGCAATGGCTCATGGTGTCTGAACTATTCTGGTTGAAGACCATGTTGATTGAGATGGGCATCCAAGCAGATGTTCCAATGAGACTATATTGTGACAATCAAGCAGCTATAAATATTTCTCACAATCTTGTCCAACATGATCATACAAAGCATATTGAAGTGGATAGCCACTTTATTAAAGAAAGAATTGCTAGTGGAGAGATTTGCCTTCCTTTTGTAAGGTCAAAAGACCAACTAGTTGATTGCCTCACTAAAGGTGTTCACCATCCAAAGTTTGCTAAGAACCTTGCCAAGTTGGGCATGATTGACATATAGGCTCAGCTTGAGGTGGAGTGTTGAGAATGGTTAGATAGGGGTGTTTTTGGTCTTTTTCTTCGTTCTTCTATCCTCTCAATATTGCCCAGATAGGGGCCTTCTTGTAATTATTATTTTTTCAAATTATAAAGTAAACTTGAGGGTGTGAATAGTGAACAAAACACACCTCTTGACACATTGCTCTCTTCTTCCTCTTCTTCTTCTTCTTCTCTTCTCTTCTTTCTTTTTCTCTTGAAACCCTAGTTTCTGCAACTAATTAAATTTTCAATGAGCTTGAGTTCAGCTTGAAAATAAATATGTATGTATATTATATATATATATGATATTTTTATAATATATAGTATATTCTTATATTATATAGAATATAAATATTATTTTTATATTCTATTATATAGATGTACGTATGTATGTATTTGCAAGCTTTCGAGCCAAACTTTTTATTGGTTGAGCTCGACTAGAATCAAACTCGAATCAAGCCTAGTCGAATTCATGCCCAAACTATTTGATTAGAGCTCGATTTGATTGTAGCCATACTCCTTCCTTCCACTGCATTGTTCCCCTAGATAAAATTTATCCTTGTAGTTACCACATTGATCCCCCTCGTTGAGATCCACATGAATAGTCTTAACTCTTAGATTCGAGAGCTACTTACCAGGATTCTTTAATTGAACCGTACACCCAAATATTTGACTCTGCTTGAACTTTCTCTTGTTCAAGACCCTTAGCTCGAAACAATGCATCTTAGAGTTCACTCCAACTCTATTAATGACCTTGACTTTCGAAACACGATTCACATTCGAACCTCCGACACTTCTTCCAGCCTGAGACACCTCTTCATCTTCTAAATTTCTAGAATCCTCCTTTTCTTTAAACACCCCAACCCTCTCCTTTTTCTTCTTTTTCCATGTGTCCCAGCAGAATAGTCTCTTCCATTTCGCCACCACCTTCTAATAAGGGAAGACCCTTCTTTATAACATCCCCACTTAACTTCGTATGTGCCTCACCATGTAAATTTCCATGGGGCCCACCACTTTTAATTCTTTTTGGGACTCTACTATCATTATCCTTGATATGACCCAAGGAAAAGTCCAACTGAGCTATTAAAATTTTTTCTGCTGAAAATATCTCATCTTCAACCTCACACCCTTCATCTTTGACCTGACTGTTTGTCTTCCCTCCAAAACCACCAGAAAGTAGATAGACCTTCTTAGCCTCCTCACTCCACATCTTCATATTTTCAATCCATCTTGCTGGGTATGAACCTTCTACAACCAGCCTTAAGTTGAAGACTTCGCCAGCAAATCGATGGGACAGGAAAGTAGGAACAAGGTGAATCTCTTCAACTTCGACTAAAATACGAGCAACAATCAGAATTCTCTAAGAATTTGTTCTAGGATCAACAAATCTGAATCTTCTGTAAGCATCTCCCGCAGCCTTAAAGGCTTGAAAACTCCACGCGTGCAAAGCAGTGTTTTAGAAGTAAAAGGCGCAAAAAAAGCTCAATGAACATTTTGCGCTTGAGGCACAAAGAACAAGGCAATGAATGCACCTTTTTGAAGCAAGGTGTAAAAATGCAAACAAATTCTAAAAAGAATCAAAAAATTCAAATTAGTAAAATATTAAACACATTATTAATTAAAATGTTAACATAAATTTTAAAATAAATTCTTTAAAAAACCTAATATCTCAAATACATAAACATAACATGTAAAACATATTTAAAATAAATTCAAGTATGACATATAAAACATATTCTCAAGCGTGTAAACTCTTTCTCTTTATTTTTTCCCAATTGCATTACTTCAAATAGCTAATGTGATGTTAAACATTATGCATTCTTGACTCAAGGCAAGTGCAAACAAGTCCATATTAAGGTCTTAAATTCTTAATCCCTATAAAAAAGAAAGGTTTTATAACTTTAAGTGTTTTTTTAAAATATTATTTATTAGGATAAATGAATGAGCAACATTAGCAAATATGGGGTTTTATAACTTTATAAGACACTTAAAATTATAAAACCTTTCTTTATTATAGGGATTAAGACCCCAATATGGACTTGTTTGGGCTTGCCTCAAGGGGCTTGGTCGGGGATCCAGGGGCGGAGACCTGGGCCCAGCTTCTAAACACACGCACACAAAAAAAAAAAGTGCACGCCTGGGACCTAGGTGAGGTGCATATCCTAAACTGTGCCTTGCCTGTATGCCTAGGTGCACCTTTTAAATCACTGGTGCAAAGGGATTGCAAACACAGTAATCCATACCGTGTTTAAAGGATGCAAATTCCTGATTGCTCTAACTAAAGGATTCCACCTTCCAATTCTAAGGTCAGGGAATCAAAACTTATTCTGTTCTCTCCTTAAGACATTGTTCACCTCCTCCTTGCTTTTGAAAGTGAACAAAATGAAACCAGCATTTGGTCTTCTGACCTGAAAAGGTTTCCTAGGTTGCCATTCAGCAGCGGCCCACTCTTCAATCTTCTCCATGTCTGGATCTGAAATTATGAAACGACCAACCATGTTACAACCCAGGAGCCTGAGTTGATCTCTAATCTCTCCATCCGGATTCACTATCACTTCCTTCATTGTTTTGCACTGAGCTGAAAGAGAAATTGTATCTTTCAAATCTGACAGCTTGACCAACCCGAGATTTCATCTACAGATCCAACAGTAGGGGTACCTCTAGTTAGATTTCATCATTAGAGTAGCCATATGTTAATCAGACTGTACATATCAGCCTGTATCAAATCAAATCTTGTATTGGAGTTCATGCCAAATAATAATGGTCATTCGTATTTCTAGCTATTAAATTTAAAAGTTCTCCATAAAAGAGCCTTTATAGTTTATATTGAACGCATGGCAGGTCTTTTAGACTAATTTTTTTCCCCACAGAAAGGGTGGGGAGATGAATATAGGTACCCCTTTTCAGTCACAAAATGTGTTGCCTCATAGAAGATCCCTATGTTGTTTAAGAAAGCTCACTAAACAACTGACTAGCATGTGGCTCATCCAAGGTTAAGACAAATCCAGCATGTTCCATCAACATGTGGAATTTTTTAGTTGTGCACAAAAACCCTGAAATGTAGTGCACAACCAGCCATTATCTCTTGCTTTTGGTCCTTACATATGGTATTGCACCATGTACACCACATTCTGTTGTGGATATTTTTTCAACTTATACATGCTATTCGTTGTGTGCTGAGTCTGTTGACCCCATTTATATGTCCTTGTGTAATTGCTTAATCCGTTACTTCCTCTTATATTGTTGTAATCTTGGCTGCCTACTTCACATGCAGATAAATTTTTGGAGGATTTTATCAAGCAAAAATTCTTGCCTCTGTCTATGCCCATAAACTATGAAACACTTAGGCTTTTGAAAGATGAAGAGAGGAAAATTGTTCTTACAATAGTAGAGGATGAGACAGATGAAAAATCATTAAAATTAATTAAGTTGTTGAAAGCTGCTGCATCTGCGAATCGTGACTTAGTATTTGGTTATGTTGGATTCAAGCAATGGGAAGATTTTACTGATACATTTGATGTCACTAAGAAGACAAAACTGCCAAAGATGATTGTTTGGGACAGAGATGAAGAATATGCTTCAGTAAGTTATTGTTTTTATTCATAGCTTAGTGTTTCTTCAGTTGTCATGGGCACTTCGAAATTACTTATTGTAGGTTTGAGGGAGTTGCATCTGTTACACTTCAGTTAGCAAATTGACATGAATGCATCAATTTATTTATATCAAAAACCTGTAGAAACGAAAGTTGATTTAATTTTGTTTCTTTATTCAGGTTTTAGTCTGTTTGTCACTGTTTAATTGATACTTGTTATGCTTGCTGGTGTTAGTTTACCTTCCCCTCACCCCCCAAAACATAAATAAATAAAGTTGAAGCTGCTAAAGTGATTTTCATCTTAAATCTAGGAATATAGTGATGGATAATTTTATTGTTATGTTATTAGGAAAAAATGTACATAGAATTGTTTTCATACTTAAGCTTTTATCCATAAAAAAAGTACCTAGAACTTTAGAAGCCAGTATTGACAAAAATTCAACCAATGTAAAAAGAAAATGTAGAAGATGTTGAGTGATTCTTTCTTTTTCTTTTCTTTTCTATTTTTGTGGTTCTTGGTTCAACAGTTTTGGTCTGAATAGATCAACCATGATGTAGGAAATGTTTTAAGCAAAAATGTAGAAGCCTATTTTGAGGGCTTTAGAAGGTTTCAGTGCTAAGGGTAGAATTTTCTGGAAACTATTGCCATTTGTTCTATGTTTGTTCCCATGGAAGGAGAGGACTGGAGGTCAATCATATTTAAAAGGAGAAGCATAGCTCTATGTCGAACATTGTTCCTATGCTCCATCGATAGGAAGGAATAGAAGCAATTCAGCCATGGCGTCAGTTGGGGATGTGGTGAGGGATTGTGGGAAATTGAGAGAGAGGCTACAGTTGTTGGATTCATGTTTAGTGGGCAGGCTTATCAATTTGGTACTAGATGAGTTGGACATATACAGGTGGGCAAAGATCGAGTGGTGCAGATTTGGCTTCATTGATGTAAGAAAGCTTAACCAGGTCTGTTCCTGTTTATTCAAGAAAAAGGAATTCACTGAAGAGGTCCTTTTGCTGGAAGAAGATTGTTTGTCGAGATGCCCGGAACTGTGATTAGGGAAATGGGCGCCAATGGCCGGGTAGACTGGAGGATTATAGAGAAATAATTATATATGGATTATTGTTTACAGAAAACCTTCATGCCTGGTTTACCCAAATGTTTTGTGCAATTGGAAATGCTTGCGGTAGGTAGAAACAGAACATGGTGGCATTTGCAGTTCCACATGAATCCTTGTGGTGAGGAGATATTCGGTCTATACCACATCATATAAATCTTTTCTTTGTGGGTGAAGTTTATGAGCTTAGAATAGTGATCGAGGGTGAATAGTATTTATGAAGCTATGGAGGTTTGTATAAATGGTTCATGGCCAAAATATCTCGTATTTGAGGCAAGTTGATAGTTTTTTTTTTTGAAATAAGTTAACTGATTTCATTAAAGGAAAGAGAGGTACACAAGAGGGTGTACAAATACAAARCAGGGTCCAGACCCCTGAGAATTATACAGGAGGAAAGATACCACAGTACAAGGTCTCCAGAATGACTCCTAATTTTGATAGACCATCTGCAATGGCATTTAGCTCCCTTGGGATCCAGTATAGAGAAACATTCGTATGAGCCAATAGGTCCCTTGCCTCTGTTAAGAAGTGACTAAGTCTCCAAGGTCCAGCCTCCTGTTCCAGCCATCTTATAGTATTTGCTGAGTCACCTTCAATGGAGAAGTTCTGAATACCCAGTTTACTGACTAGGAGAATCCCTGTGAGAGCTGCTAACACTTCTGCCTTTGTGGAGTCAGCTATCCCAATTGGTCCACTGTATACCCAGCAGGTGAGTCTGTTCTCATCTCTTAGGATTCCCCCTATACCAGCAGCTCCAGGGTTACCAGAAGCACTTCCGTTAAAAGCTAAGAGTCCAAGTTCCTTCCCTTCTTACTGAGGGAACTCTGGGAGTTGGTGGGATAGGGGGGGAGGAGACCAGGAAGTTATACTCATTTCTGTTAAGGTCATTAACATTGATTCCTGTGAACTCCTTTGAGCTGGAAGCCCACAAATTGCAGTAATAAGTGATATGGTTGATCAACTCACCCTTAGATTTTGTCCTATTTTCGAACAGCTGATTGTTCCTTTCCTCCCAAATTCCCCAAAGAACAGCATGAAGTACTATCAGCCAGTAAGTCTTACCTCTCTTGCTCAGACCTCTTCCTTGCCACTGTGAAATCAGTTCCTGAAGGTTCTTAGGAACCACCCAACTAAAGCCAACTAACTGTAGGAAGAAGTTCCAGTTGTTGCTGGCCACCTGGCAATGTATGAAGAGGTGGTTAGTTGTCTCTCCCTCACGGAGGCAGAGGGTACAGACGTGAGGGGAGATAAAAAGCCTTCCAAGGTTTTTCTTCTGCAATAGCTCACAAGTGTTTACTTGCTGCAGACAAGCCTCCCAAACAAAGAAACTCACTCTTGAGGGAACAAACTTGCACCAGATCTTCTTGAAAGGGAAGTCACTGTCTTGGTTTCCTGCAACCAGAGCTTCGAAGAAAGACTTGGATGAGAACTAGAATGGTATAATTGGAGAAGAGTATTTGCACATCTCTGAGTTTGATGGATCCCTTTGGATGTGAGTTGAAATAGAATCTTGATCCTAGAAGCAATACTAGGAAGAACTAGAATGGTATAATTGCTATTGTAAAACTAGATAGAACAAATTATTTGGAGTAGTCATAGACTGTGCACACATACATTGGCTGGAATGATAGCCATGCTTTTATCACAGGGATTGTAGCAGTGCAAGAGAGCTCAGATCCACAACATGCACATTAGATCTAAGAGAACTGTTTTCTGTGTGGGATGCTTGAGAGGAGAGGAAGAAAGGGAGAAGAGATGAAGATGAGAATAAGACACTGGTAGAACACTGGGCGGCATCCCCTTTCATTGATATAAATAAGGTGAACATAAAAGAAGGTGAAAGGACATTATTGCCCCTAAGAAACAAATAAAACGCATAAGCTAAGTAGCAACAAGTAAGCCAACATAACCAACACTCCCCCTCAAGTTGGGTCATGAATATCAATCATTCCCAATTTGTTACAAAGGGAAAACTTGTATTGGGACACCAACACTATTTGTAAGAACATTGACTAGCTGATTTGAAGAAGTAATTTAGGGAATACAAATGTTGCCCATCTCAACCATTTCCCTAATGAAGTGTTTGTCAACTTCAATATGCTTGTTTCTATCATGGAGAAAAGGATTATGAGCAATGTTGATGGCTGCCTTGTTGTCATAGCACAATGTCATTGGAATAGTCACTAGGAAGCCCACAACATCTCAGCAACACCATTTGCCATAGCACAGTTTTCAGCTTTTGCACTGGACCTAGCCACCATAGACTGTTTTTTACTCCATATAACCAAGTTGCCTCCCACAAAGGTACAATAACCAGGTGTTTTTTTTTTTTTTCTGATCGATAACAGGAAGCATTTCATTAATAAGCAATTAAAATACAATGGAGGGGAGATAAAATATCTTAGCTCCCTTAGGGATTAGAAGAGAAAAAACAGTTACAATTGAGCCCAGAAAATAGAATCCCTATGCACCCCTTGCCTAGCTAAACTGTCAGCAAAGGAGTTGGCACTTCTCTTTACCCAAATACATTTTACATCGATGTCCTTAGTCAACCACTTAAACTTCCTCTTCTCATTGTTGTAGTTCTAAAGCCCAATCTTGTCTTCCTTTAACCAGCCCACTACAATCTCAGAATCACTTTCTATGACCAGCTTATTGATATTCAGGTCCCTTGCTCTTTTTACCCCTTCCATGACTGCCATTACCTCAGCCCTAAGGGAGTTGCCCACACCAATTGGACCAGAAAACAAGGCTATTGCAATCCCTTGTTCATTCCTTAGAACTCCCCCAATGCCAGAAGGCCTTGGGTTTCCCAAACTGCTACCGTCGAAATTCAGTTTGATGAAGCCATGAGGGGGAGGATTCCATGATGGACTTGAAGTCATCTTTGATGGGACTGACTTTGCAATTTCCTTCTAGTTCCGTAGAAGATCATCCACTGAGATGTCTGTGAACAGCTCCAAGTATTTCAGCCAGTGTATTGCTCTTATGTGGATCACTTCCATGACACTACCTAGGCTTCTCTCCTTGTCAGAAAATATTCTTGAGTTTCTCTCCTCCCAAATAGATCAGCATACAGCAGCCCTAACACATCTCCACACAACCTTTCCTCTTTTTGTTGAGCAGCTGAAGGAAGAAGTAAATAGGCTTTGCACATTCAGAGGGGGATTCCACCTGCACCCAAACAAAGAAGTAAACCATTCTCAAATACTTTTTGCAAATTGGCAGGAAATTAATAAGTGGTAATCGGACTCATCATCAGCCTTACAGAGAACACACCAATGAGGAGATAAACATCCATTGGGTCTCTTTCTTTGAAGCAAATCACCTGTGTTGATTCTTTCTAGAAACGCTTCTCAACAAAAACTCCCAATCTTAGGAGGGATAGGTTGATACCAGACTTCCTTAACAGGGAAAGACGATCTAGAAAGGTCAATTTGTTGAGTGAGAATCTTAAAAAAGGAGGCACAGGTGAAGGAACCGGAAGGAGATGGGGTCCAAATTCTACTATCTAGCTGTGTGGGATCCAGAAAAATCCCATCAAGGATGTCCAAGAGAGTTAAGATACTATCAAATTCTGTATCCCTAATAGTTCTTCTCAAATCCAAGTTCCACCCAAACCCAGAGGTCAAAGAAAGTGGAGATAGGTTCATTTTTAAAATAAAAAATAGCAAATAAAGTTGGAAATTGGTTTTTCAAAGGGGAATCTCCAACCCAAACCTGCTCTCAAAATTTGATGATGTTACCTGAATGTAAATCATACCCGATCCAAGGATAGAACAAAGGCATGATAGCTTGAATTGCTTTCCAAGGTGGAGCTCTTGTACTTCTAGCCAGAATCTTAGAGTCCTAACCATTATTTGCAAGCCCATGGATAATAA